AACTGCCGCTCACTGGATATTGCCTCTTTTTCAGACTATTCTCCATCTAGATATGGTTGTGCGTGAAAGTCCCAGTAGATCAGCAGTTTCTGAAATACTCAGAGCAGCCCGTCTGGCAGCAACAACCATACCACGTTCAAAGTCACTTATATCCACTTTCTTCCCCATTCTGATGCTCGCTTTGAGCTGCAGCAGGTCGTCTTGATCATGTCTACACGCCTAAATGCATTGAGTTGCTGCCATGTGATTGGCTGATTAGAAATTTGCATTAACGAGCAGTTAGACAGGTGTACCTAATAAAGTGGCCGGTGAGTGTAATAATAAATGAGTGCAATTAACAATAAATCTATCATGCATGACTCAATTTAATGCATAGTTTCTGTGGATAACAGCATGTTCCCAACGCATTGAAGCAAAAGTCAAAGCAATATCACCTTCGCATGACTCTTCAATGTACACCGCATCCCCGATAACCAGCGACAACTGCTTCTCCGCTTTGGCGATGAAATTCCACTTAACTTCAAAGAAAAGAGAGCAAATATAAAACGGCGTGACATTCGTCAGATGAATTGGAAAGTGCTTTAAGCGATTCTCCCTGGTCACAGTCGTATTTATTTTCTCAAGCATTTCTATGAAGACATCAAACGGTAAGAATTCCCTCTGTTTAGGGGCTCTACTGTGCTTTCTACTTTAAAAAAAGGAGTGCTGAAAGGGTTAGTTCACTCAAAAATGAAGGTTTACTCACTATTTACTCACACTCAAACAGTCTAAAAGTTTTATGAGCTTCTTTTTATGTAAAACACTAAAAAAGATACTTTGAAGAATGCTAAAAACCTGTAACCATTGACTTTAATGGTATTTGTTTTTATGGATGTCAATGGTTACAGGTTTTTCACTGTTTTCAAAAATATCTTCTCATTTCAAACCTTCATAAGCTTCTTTTTTGTTAAACACTAAAGAATATACTTTAAAGAATGTTAAAAACCTGTAACTATTGACTTCAATGGTGTTTGTTTGTATGGCTGCCGATGGTTACAGATTTTCCGCTGTCTTCAAAAATATCCCCTCATTTCAAACCTTCATGAGCTTCTTTTGTTAAACACTAAAGAAGATACTTTAAAGAATGCTACAAACCTGTAACTATTGACTACAATGGTATTTGTTTTCATGGATGTCAATGGTTACAGGTTTTCAGCTGTCTTCAAAAATATCTTCTCATTTTAAACCTTCATGAGCTTTTTTTTTGTGAAACACTGAAGAAGATACTTTGAAGAATGCTAAAAACCTGTAACTATTGAATGCAATGGTTTTTGTTTTTATGGATGTCAATGGTTAAATGTTTATAGCTGTCTTCAAAAATATCCCCTCATTTCAAACCTTCATGAGCTTCTTTATTTTGTTGAACACTAAAGAAGAGACTTTGAAGAATGCTAAAAACCTTTAATCATTGACTTCAATTGTGTTTGTTTTTATGGATGTCAATGGTTACAGGTTTTCAGCTGTCTTATTTTTGAAGAAACCTAGAAACCTGTACCCATTGGCGTCCGTTAAAACCAAATACCATTGAAGTCAATAGATACAGGTTTGTAGCATTCTTCAAAGTATCTTCTTTAGTGTTTAACAAAAGAAAGAACCAGATAAAGGTTTGAAATGAGAAAAGGATGAGTACATGATGACAGATGTTTCACTTTTGAGTGAACTATCCGTTTTAGGGCAAAACACACACACACACACACACACACACACACACACACACACACACACACACACACACACACACTCACACTCACACTTAGCATACACACTGTAATTAAGATTAGTGGCAATGAAAAGTTCAACTTCATATTTACAGACAAACTTCCCCTAGACATAATGACTTTTATACTGTGTTTGTTTTAGTGACTTGTGGGGACATTCCACAGGTTTCCATTGGGTTTTACTGTACACGTGACTATCTGTACTTTCTGTGCAATTTAAAAGCATTTTATACTTCTAATAATACTTCTAGTGTCATTATGCAAATTTGTGTCCAGATATATGACAAAAACGTACACACACATACACACACACACACACGCACACACACACACACACACACACACACACACACACACTTCTGCTAGTTCGTTGGCCTACTTCCTCTCAGAGTAACTTCCTGTGCAACACCGCACACACACACACACAGATACACGCCGCCATCAGCGTGTTTACAATTCATTTAACATCCAATAAGAAACTCATCAGCATTCACAAGATCAGATCAGCTTTTACTCTGAGTTCTGATAAGTTTTCACATGTATAACATCCTAATGTCCTCCAACAAACTCGCAGCCGGCTACAGATGTGCTGACTACACATCACACTGCACAACCCAAAGCATTCACGTTCAGTTCAAGACGCACACAAATAACTTAAGTTAGCTTGTGTGAATTTTAGAATTGCTGGACACATAAACCACATATATCTGAGCTGTTCGCTTGAGTTAATGATTAAGTATTTAAAATGCAATATGCATGTCATGTTTCTTCCCAAAAGGTGGTTATTTGGTCATTTTATATATATATATATATACAGATGAAGTCAGAATTATTCACCACCTTTTGATTTTTAACAGAGCAAGGAAATTTTCACAGTATGTCTGATAATATTTTTTCTTCTGGAGAAAGTCTTTTTTTTCGGCTTGAATAAAAGCAGTTATTATTTTTTTTAAAAAACATTTTTGGGACTAAATTATTAGCCTCTTTAAGCTATTTTTTTTTCCCGATATTCTACAGAACAAACCATCGTTATACAATAACTTGCCTAATTACCCTAATCTGCCTAGTTAACCTAATTACCCTAGTGAAGCCTTTTAATGTCACTTTAAGCTGTATAGAAGTGTCTTGAAGAATATCTATTAAAATATTATTTACTGTCATCATGACAAAGACAAAATAATTCAGTTATTAGAAATAGGTTTTAAAACTATTATGCTTAGAAATGTGCTGAAACAATCTTCCCAGAACAGAACAGAAATTGGGGGAAAAAATAAACAGGGGTGCTAATAATTCAGGGGGGCTAATAATTCTGACCTCAACTGTATGTGTGTAAATATATATATATATATATATATATTTATTTATTTATTTATATGGTGTATATAACTAGGCAGGTTAGGGTAATTAGGCAAGTTATTGTATAATGATGGTTTGTTCTGTAGACTATCGGGAAAAAAATTGCTTAAAGGGGCTACTAATATTGACCTTAAAATGGTGTTTAAAACATTAAAAACTATTTATATATTTCTATTTCTAGCCTAAATAAAGCTACACTTCAAGGGATAAAACATAGTTGTTAGAAGCAAAATAACTGTGCATAAATATTTGGCCTTTACATAAAAAAAAAAAAATATATATATATATATATATATATATATTTATTTATTTATTTATTTTTTTTTTTTTTTATGGAAGGAAAATGAATTCATGCAAATAAACATTTGGCCATTACATAAAAAATAGAGAAGGAAAATAATAATAAATAACAATGCTCATGCAGGTGACGCCGTGGCGCAGTAGCTAGTGCTATCGCCTCACAGCAAGAAGGTCGCTGGTTTGAGCCTCAGGTGCGTCAGCTGGCATTTCTGTGTGGAGTTTGCATGTTCTCCCTGTGTTGGTGTGGGTTTCCTCCGGGTGCTCCGGTTCCCCCACAGTCCAAATACATGCGCTATAGGGGAATTGGGTAAGTTGTCTGTAGTGTATGAGTGAGAATGAGTGTTTAGATGTTTCCCAGGGATGGGTTGCAGCAGGAAGGGCATCCACTGTGTAAAACATATCCTGGATAAGTTGGCGGTTCATTCCGCTGTGGCGACCCCAGATTAATATAGGGACTAAGCTGAAAATGAATGAATGACTGAATAATCATTTTTATTTTAATATAGGGACTATGTATAATTAATACAGGGACTTTTATATAACAAAGTTAAGGATATTATTTATTTATGACAACTAATCGCTTTAAAAGCACTAGACTTACTTTGTTAAGTCAACTAAACATTTTAAAAGCAATGTTTTTCCCACGGGTGAGGCAGTAGGTAGTGCTGTCGCCTCACAGCAAGAAGGTCGCTGGGTCGCGAGTTCGAACCTCGGCTCAGTTGGCGTTTCTGTGTGGAGTTTGCATGTTCTCCCTGCCTTCGCGTGGGTTTCCTCCGGGTGCTCCGGTTTCCCCCACAGTCCAAACACATGCGGTACAGGTGAATTGGGTAGGCTAAATTGTCCGTAGTGTGTGTGAATGTGTGGGTGGATGTTTCCCAGAGATGGGTTGCGGCTTGAAGGGCATCCGCTGCGTAAAAACTTGCTGGATAAGTTGGCGGTTCATTCCGCTGTGGTGACCCCGGATTAATAAAGGGACTAAGCCGACAAGAAAATGAATGAATGAATGAATGAATGTTTTTCCCACTCTATAAAGTAAAGTAAGCGAATCGCTTTAAAATATTGATATTAATAATAAAATATTTTTTTGAAAGGAAAATAAATAACTTGATGTGCATCAATATTTGACCTTTACGTTTAGACATTTTTTTTAGAGTTTTCAAATTTAAAACTCAAATATAACAATTTCAGTAGGAAAATAAAAGTTTGCAACTGCCTAAAAGCCTCTTCTTCTATATGATCTTACACTTTTTGATCACACACTTGTGTATGTTCTTCAAATATGAGCACATTTTGAATTTTTGCCTTATGTGAAACATCTAACAATCAAAAATCAAGCTATTAACCTTTCAGTTTCAATTGTGCACTTATTTAGTGTAGGTCTCCATGTTGCTCACTGTTGCACAAATCTAAAAGCACATCTACAGCATTCAGCAGACAACCTAAAACAAGTAAATCCCTTCAACTCCAAAAACTCAAGAAACTGCATAATATATCAACTGATTTGGTTGCAATAAATGATAATGTAACCAGTCATTAAATCCGAGACACATTTTTAGAGCTGAAAGCCGAATAACAAGCCGTATTTAACGCTTCAGTTCAGCTAGCTTATGCATTTTAAACGTCACGTTCACTCAACATATGCATAAATCTGAATATTTGCTGCGTTTCAAAGCAAACACGAATGTGAGATGATAAAACTCTGCAATCAGTTTAGGCCAGTGACTGCTGGGCGGCTTGACGGATCGGTCTCCGGCCACATCCTGAGATATAGGAACTAAACTTGAGCAACTATAGACGCCTGCTGCAAAGAGATATACACAAACACACACACCAAATGCACGGAAAACATTCCCAATCACAGGTGTATCTCACACACACACATTAATAAACAACAAAACTCACCGACTCCATATCTTTCAGTGTTTGTTTTTGTCCAAGGAGCCATTGGTTGGACTATGAAGCGCACTTCTGCGTCTGTATTTTCTCTTTCGGAGTATCTCAGTTCCTTTCTTATGCTATTTTTTTTTGGGGTGGTGAGAGATGTTCAGCATGAAGCGCTCCTCCTACTCTCTCACTGACTGCCGGCTTCTTCCTCTTCCTCTTTTGGCCTTTACATTTCATTGGGGTGAAGTTGGTTTGACATTCGCACATTCAGACTTTCTCGCTAATGTTATATTTTTAGAAAAGTGTTCTTTGCAAATTGTACATCATACTCATATAATCAGCAGTCAATGACTATTACAGTACAGCATTGTGCATAATTAACACAAAATAAGGTCAGGAATCTTGGTGTGACTCTGGAGACAGATCTGAGTTTCAATAGTCATGTCAAAGCAGGCAGTAAATCAGCATACTGTCATCTCAAAAACATTACAAGGTAATCAGTAATCAGATGCTTTGTTTCCAGTGAGGATTTGGAGAAACTTGTTGATGCTTTTATCAGCAGCAGGGTGGATTACTGTAATAGACGCCTCACTGGCCTTCCCAAAAAGACAACCAGACAGTTGCAGCTCATCCAGAACGCTGCAGCCAGAATTCTGACCAGATCCAGAAAATCAGAGCACATCACACCTGTCCTCAGATCTTTACACTGGCTCCCAGTCATATTGTAGAGTTTAAAGTATTATAACTGGTCTATAAATCACTAAACGGCCTAGGAGCTCAATACAATACAGATATGCTCACTGAATACAAACCCAACAAGCACGGTTCACTTGGCTGGCCATGGCCCAGTTGGAAGAGGTTGGCCTGAGCCCGGTTCACTTGGGCTTTGGCGCGGTACGCTTGTGTGTGTGCGCAAAACGCACCAAAGCCCGAAACTGAAAGCGAGACGTGTTTTTTAAGGGACTGTTTCATATGGATTTATGAATCATTCCAACCCAAGCTCATTCTGGAAACGTAGCCCCGCGGACGTTTCTGGAGACCGCGATTTACGTGGCCGGAGGTACGTAAAGGCCGCGTTTGGTTTTTTTCGAGCAAACGCTGCGGGGCGGTGTGGCGCCGCTCCGCTCCTCCTCTTCACGCTCGCCGGCCGACTGCTCGCCTCCGAGTGGAGGGCTTTCCCGATGCAACCAGTTTGTCCGCTTAGCTCACAGCGTTGCGTCGGCGGAGCGAAGGCCCCGGACGAGGAGGAGGAGTTCCCCGGATTGAGTCCGGGGAACAGCAGGTTCCGGAAATCAGGTAAGACGAAAAACGGAATCCGAAAAATAAGGGCGAGAACGCGGCGGGATCCGAAAACGCGGTCGAAATCGAAGACGAGGGCTTTTGCTTTTTTTTTTTTTTCTCGATCCGGTGGCTTTTCGCGCGAGAACGGCACGGGCGCGAACGCCACGCACTCCCGAGAGGCGCCCGAGACGCGAAAAAGCGCGCACAGCGGCCTCTCGCAGATCCACGAAAACAAAAAATGCTCGAATACGTACCTCCCGGGACGTAAATCGCGGTCCGTAGAAACGTCCGCGGGGCTATGTTTCCACAATGAGCCCGGGTTGAATCATTCTTACTGTTCAGTGAACGCAAACTGCCGTAGTTTATTAAAGACGCAAACCCCTCACTGCACGTCAGCTGCACCTTCAGCAGACCTCCTCATTCCTGCAGCATGAGGGCTTTATGATTGTTTATGAGCGCCAAAAGTGGCGGATCTGTTCGACGAAATATCTGACTGCGTGTCCCCGCATCCCTGAGGACTGTTTGGCGAAATATTTGACGGCATATCAAACGACTGAAACGACATAACTAGAGAAATCTCCACTGTGCTGCTGAGTGAGAGAGCGCTTCTCACTGAACAGTGCAGCAGCGATGACGTAAGCGTGCCGAAGCCCGTTTGTGGTGTGAGCGCGGGCCGTCTGGGCAGACGGGAGGGGGGACAGGCGTGCTTTGGCCCGGTTCGAGGCAACTGTACCTAGTGTGAGTACTGCCTCAGCCTTCAGCCATTAACAGCGCCCCCTGCTGCTGGAAGCAGCTTCCAGAAATGATCAGATGCGCTCCAACATTAGGCACATTCACATCAAGACTGAACACACATCTGTTCAGCTGTGCCTTTACTGAATGAGCACTGTGCTGCGTCCAACAGATCGCACTATTATGTTTTTCTCTTCTTCTTCATTCTTTTATATCACATTTGATCTGTTTTTATGTTGTTTTTTAATCATTTTTATTATGTTTTTCTTTCACTTGTTTCTTTTATTCTTGTTCATGTAAAGCACTTTGAATTGCCACTGTGTATGAAATGTGCTATATAAATAAACTTGCCTTAATTAAAAAGCTAATGCTGTTCTGAAGTCATACTTGCATGCTATTTCTGACTGAATATTCAAAATAGCCTGGTAGTAGGGAGTAGGTCACAAGTTGTCACTGAATGAATGTGTGAATATAAAACCAACTTTACCTCAATTTACATTTGATCAACTGATAAACGTAGCGCAGCATCTAGCCTAAAGCACACGCTTCAGTGAAACATGTTGGCCAACTGATTCACTATTGTACCCATGGATCACCAAACCAGCCAGAAGTGTTGATTTTTTGTAACAAAAAAAGAAACAATCACAAGATTGAGAAAATTATTTTTCAAGTCGTTCACATTAGGTTGTTAATAATGCATATACTAATCAAAAATTCAGTTTTAATTAATTTACAATATGAAATTTACTAAATATTCAATTTATATTATTAGATTTTTGACAAAATAAAAATGTAAGATTTTTTATTTTGTAATTTTTGTAGTCATTTATATATAATAATTTTTCATTTAATATTATTTTGGGGCGATGCAGTGGCGCAGTGGGTAGCACGTTCGCCTCACAGCAAGAAGGTTGTTGGGTCGCTGGTTCGAACCTCGGCTCAGTTGATGTTTCTGTGTGGAGTTTGCATGTTCTGCCTGCCTGCACGTGGGTTTCCTCCGGGTGCTCCGGTTTCCCCCACAGTCCAAAGACATGCGGTGCAGGTGAATTGGGTAGGCGAAATTTTCCATAGTGTATGAGTGTGTGTGTATGTGTGGATGTTTCCCAGAGATGGGTTGAATATGATGAAACCATGATGAATGAATATTATTTTGTATTAATTTATTATTTATACAAATTACATTATTCATAACGTTTATAATAAATGCAAAGCTCAGTTAACTATATTAAATTTATATTATTTAATTTTTTTATAAAATAAGACTGAAAATTTTTATGGTGCAATTTAGTAATCATATATAAATAATTATTAATAATTTTTAATTAATTTATTCGTTCATTTTCTTTTTGGCTTAGTGCCTTTATTAATTCGGGGTCGCCACAGCGGAATGAACCGCCAACTTATCCAGCATATGTTTTTATACAGCGGATGCCCTTCCAGCTGCAACCCAACTCTGGGAAACATGGACAATTTAGCCTACCCAATTCATATGTACCGCATGTGTTTGGACTGTGGGGGAAACCAGAGCACCCGGAGGAAACCCACGCGAAGGCAGGGAGAACATGCAAACTCCACACAGAAACGCCAACTGAGCCGAGGTTCAGACCAGCAACCCTCTTGCTGTAAGGCGACAGCACTACCTCCTGCGCCACTGCCTCGCCCGTAATAATTGTTTATTTGTCTAAATTTAATTCTTAACAACGCATATTGCTAATCAAAAATTCTGTTTTAATACATTTGCAATATGAAATTTACCTAATATTAAATTTCTATGAATAGATTTTGACACAAAATAAAAATTAAGATTTTTATTTTGTAATTTTGCAATCATTTATATGTAATTAAAATTTTTAATAATTTATTTTGCATTAATTTATTATTTGTCCAAATGAAGTTCTTAATAATCCCTATTACTAATCAAATGTTGATAAATTTGCGATTGGAAATGTATAAAATAAATTTTTTATTACATTTATATGATTTGACTTTTGATATAAAATAAAATTGAGATTTTTATTTGGAAATTTTGTAATCATTTATATATAATTAATAATTCAATAATACTTATTATAAATAATATAATATAATTGTGTAATAATTTTTGTTATTAATTTCTTATTAATGAATATTACTAATCAAATTAGTCCCATTCTGATATAGGAAATTTACTAAATATTAAATTTATATGATCTGATTTTTGACAAAATAAAAATTTAGATTAATTTATTTTCATTCATTAATTTTTAGGTTTAGTCCCTTCATTAATCAGGGGTCACCACAGCAGAATGAACCGCCAACTTATTCAGCATATGTATTACACAGCGGATGCCCTTCCAGCTGCAAAGTACTGGGAAACACCCATACACACTCATTCACTACGGCCAATTTAGTTCCCCCAATTCCCCTACTGCCAACTCACCCAGCCGGGGCTCGAACCAGCGACCTTCTTGCTATAAGGCGACAGTGCTAACCACTAAGCCACCGTGTCACCCTCACAATTATTTAACATTTAAAAAATTAAGCACTTTTAAATAGTTATTTAATTATATTATTCTTATGTTTAGTTGTCGGTGGTGAAAAACATCTGTATGTGGTCTGATCTGAATTAAAAGCCCTCTTATTATCCACTTGAAGGAAAAAGCTGAGCTGTTTGTGCCTCTTTAAATCAAAGGCATGATGCATTATGGGCCGTTTTAAGGGGTGTTTTGTGCTTCAACAAAAGCCGGCGTTTACTCAGTGGGAAGCTGCTCTGTTTTTCTGCTCTGATCACAGAAAGCAGAGCGTTTATCGGCCTCCAGCTGCTCACAGAAACACCGCTTGTATAAATGTTGGTATTCATTGATGATTTCTTGTATTGAAGCGAACACAACAGAAATGTGATGTTTTTTTTTTTTAGCATGACTGTGTTCCACTGCAAGTGCTTTCTGTCTGGCCACTGTGAAAAAGACGACTGTGATATATTAATTCATTTATTTTCCTTCGGCTAAGTCGCTTATTTATCAGAGGTCGCCACAGTGGAATGAATCGTTAACTTATCCAGCATATGTTTTAAGCAGTGGATACCTTTCCAGCTGTAATCAAGTACTGGGAAACACTCATACACTCTCACATTCACACACACACACCCATAAACTATGGACAATTTAGCTTACTCAATTCCCCTATAGCGCATGTGTTT